CGTTTTCAAATTATCTTCAGCAAAATGTTACCAAACTGCTTGCCCCACTTAGTGGGAGGTGAGCGTAGACTGCTCTCAGGCAACATGAAACTTGAGGTTGCCATTTCTGGAGGTGCCCTGGACACTAGTCTCCTCTCTGAGGACAGTGAAAACGCCTGGTGGTCCTGGCAGAGGCCATGCCATGCCTGTGGATCAGCAGGGGCAGGCTTGTGGTTTAATTGAAGTCCTGCATCTCCCCCTCAACTTCAATCTCCCACCAAATGAAATAGGCTGGCCTTCCAGATACCCAGTTTCCCAGTCCGTTCTGATGGACCACATGGTCCTTTATCCTGATTTCCCTGGGTTACCCTTCTCACACTTGTCAATCATCATTTCACACCAACACACCTCTCACCGACACGCTTCAGTGGATTTATGTTGGTGTGCCTGCTGACGGGGAAGACAATGTTGGCAATGATGGGCAGCTGAATTCTAGAATCTGATTCATAGCCCTAGGGCTTAAACTGTCAGCGTTGACAGGCAGGTAGGGGCCCACGTAGTCACGAAGAAGAAAAACCTCTCTGCCAAACTCGAGTTTGGGCTGTGGGACCTGGTCCTCATTCCAATGCTTTGTACTGCACCCCTTGAAACCTAAGTGAACAAGGTTGTTGTTGTTAAGTACTATGGAGTTGATTCTGACTCATAGCGACCCTGCACAGGGTTTCCGAGGCTGCAAATCTTTACGGGAGCAGAAAGCCTCATCTTTCTCCCATGGAACAGTTGGTAGTTTTGAACTGCCAGCCCAATTCGTAACCACTACGCTACCAAAGCTCCTTAGTGAACCAGGTTGTTGTTGTTGTTAAGTGCCGTCGAGTCGGTTCCGACCCATAGCGACCCTGTACAGGGTTTCCGAGGCTGCAAATCTTGACAGGAGCAGAAAGCCTCATCTTTCTCCCGCAGAGCGGCTGGTAGTTTCGAACTGCTGACCTCAAGGTTCGCAGCCTGATTCGTAACCACTACGCTATACCTGTTCTTAAATCCAGAACAAGGGACTCGCTGTGATTGTCAACACTGCATAGCCTCCCTGAGCCACACAGATGCAGAGGGAATGAATGCATCTGTTAACATGTCTCTATTTCTCACAGGGTTGACACAGGCCTGGCTCACCCCATCAAGAGCAGGGCCTGCCTAAGGAGGCAGCCTAACAGTACTGGACTCAGAATACCTTATCTGTTACGAGCTTTTAGGACCTTTTCCAGGAATTCCAGTAGCAGGATTTTTCTCACGCAACCCCTAAAGCACTTAACTACTTTCTTTTCTTGCAGGGAGGTGGGGTGGAGGTTGTGGTTTAAAAACAGAAATAAATACACCCAACTTCACTCCTTAACACTCACAAAATATCTAATCCGCCAAACCTTCATTTTTGTAAATTTATTTAGAAAAAAATTAACATGGACAAATGAGATACCTCAGTGTTACAACAGAGTATAGAAATGTCTAGTAATAGTCAAATAATTTGATCTTTAAATACAAAATAACCACATGAACACCTAATATACAGGTTTCATCTGAATACATATTTATTAGATAAATATTAAAGGTCGTCACATCATCTAACTACATACAGCTCTGCAAGACTAGAAATCACAATTCCTTTTCTGACCAGTTGAAGGTATGAAATGATTGCATTGTACAATGTACAAGGACGATGGCGCTTTCTGCGAGTTACTTCAGACTGTACTTGTGGGGGTGTTGATGTGTGTATGTGTGAATCACCTGTGGTCATGATATCAAAAATTATACAAAGTATGAATTTGGTTACAATTTTCTCTTGAAATCCCCATTCTTTTCATTTTTTTTTTCCCCATAGCACCCTAAAAATACACAGGTGTTAGGACTAGCACACTGAAGCTTAATAGTACATGTAGGTAAAATAAAAACAAAACAACAAAAATTCCTTTCCACACCGGCTCAGAGTATATTACACAGTGGGACAAACGCGGAGACCTCACGAACACTAACAAACAGGATCTATTTTTTCCACGTAAGATGGAGTTCCAAGCCTTTTTTTTTTTTTTTTTGTGGTTTTGTAAAATAAAAACAATACACATTCCGAAGAAATGAATGCATCTGTTAACATGTCTCTATCTCTCATTTACATATGTACACACGTCCCATGAGTCACTGCTGCTGATGTTGCTGTTTGGACGGGTCAGGATGGAGGCCCATGGGGAGCCCGGGGGATTTAGGGTTTCCGTGAAGGAGAAGTTACTAGACATTACTTCAAACAAAATAAAATGGCTCCAGAGAACATGCTACACAGGTAAAGCTTCAAACCAAGAAGATGGGGGGCGGGTGTGTGTGTGTGATTGCCTGTACTTGGACCCACCCACCCACCTGCCCCGTCTGTTTATGGAGTGGCAGCTGAAGTGTGCCTATGGCTCGGTTGATACTTGCCATGGAACAGTGGCTTGCTGAGGCCTCATTTTTGCTGAGGTTACTTATGGCTCCAATAGTTGTCTACAAATCATTAGGGAAAGAGCTCGCTGGGGTTCAGAACTACTGCTGCTTACGGATGGTCTCACCTAGGGTTTTGCCAACTAGGGATGCCTCTAAGCCTCCCTCCACTGAGCCAGCTGCAGAATCCCTGTGGAAGAGGGCATCCCCAGAGCATGGGCTGCAAGGACCTGGTTTCAGAGTTGGCTGGAAGGAAAGTTCTTTGGAAAACTTGCTGGTGGAGGCTTACTTGGGAGGAGCCCCAGGAAGCAGCCTCAGGTGCTGAGCCCATGCTTCCTCAAGAGAAGATGAGGGGGGGTGCTTGTGGACTCGGGATGTCGGGAGCATCCCAGCTCCCTGCACTAGGAAAATAGGGATAGGTTGGTGAGCAGTCTGGAGACAGCCCCGTAAGAACCAGAAAAGATGGGATTTTCCAGGGCAAGAAGCAAGAGCTTTCTAGGAACGCAGCTTCGTCTGTCTGGAGCTGAACATTTTGAGATGTTTGGACAAAGCATGACCAACTGCCAGTCTTTCTGGAGCTAACGGGCACTGGGCAGGGATGGCCCCATGTTACCTGGCATTGGCTTGTCCTCACCAGTTGGCTAGTGGATCTACACAGTGGGCTGATGGTCTTTAAGTCTCCAAGGGCAGCTGCCCATTCTCTGTCCCCTCAATTGCACAAATAGCTCTGATTGCTTTTTTGTTTTTGTTTTGTTTGTTTTTTTTAAAAAAGACTCAGTTTCTGTTGTTGAGTCGATACACTTTAAAAACACCAGCAAAGGCTATAACCAGGTCATGAAAATGCTGAGTATTATCAAAGGCGATACTAAAATATTCACAAAGATATTTACAAAAGCGATTCTTAAAACAAATGATTTGCATACTGAACAACACACCGTTTGAAAAACCTCAACAAAGGGACAAAGACAAAAGGGTCAATGGCAGCTTTGCTACAGAAAACCTTGTGCCGTCTGGAACAGTGACTAGGTGTCAACAGTGGGGCCACCATTTCGGTCAAGTCCAGAGTGGAGTGTGGGCGCCACGCAACACCGAGAGGGAGAAGGGTGGGACAGAGGTGGAGACCACAGAGGGCAGGAGGGCAAGGGGCCCCAGGCAGCAGCAGGAAAGGACGCAAAGATTTTACAGACGTGATCCAAATGACTAGACAGGCCACATGGCGTAAGGGGACTGTGGGTGAACCTGGCACAGAATGAAGACAGCAGCAGGCTGGCCAGCGGAAGCGCCCAGAGAGCACAAAGCTAGATGGAGAGGTGTGGACAGACACGAGGCTGCTCTGCTTCAGCGAGCAAGAGTGTGGTATGGTCTCGTGACAGAGGGCACAAGAGGGAGAGGCCGGCAGCTGGGCATGGCCCACAAACATCATGCGATGCACACAGGTCCATCCCTGTCCACATGGCATTGGATTGGGCTGAGCTGAGGGCAGCCTTAAACACAGGGAGACAGACAAATGCCGAACCCACGCGTCCACCTGGATCTGCACCTCTCCTGCTTTGCCACAGTCTGGTTGGACAGTGGGAAGTGGACATCCCATGTAACAGTTGGGGAGAGGTGGGTGGGGGCCAGGAGGAAGGAAACGGAACACAAGGGAGAGAAATTATTTGCTTTCTGTCCAATTCCAACATGTTGTCCTCCAGAGGACACAGTTAACTTGAATGCGGTTTTCTGTTGGGTTTTGAAAGGGAGTGGCTTGGAGAAGAGTTGTAAGTTGCTGCCCTTCTTTGCCTCTAACATGCCCATTACACTCCCACCCCAAGCCAAGGGCACGATCATTTTGGTTGGACTCTCTCTGTCCACAAGGCAGGGCCCTGGCTTGCGTCCGGAGGTCTTGGAGCATAAGGTGTCATACCAGCCCCCTTGCCCACCAGTCCTGAGCAGGAATGGCATACTCTCTCAACCAAATCCAATCATCTTCTTTTCTGAGGGCCTGTGTTGGCAGGGCGAAGTGGCTTAGAGCTCAGGGACCAAGAGGCAACCCCCAGCCCTGAGAGATGTTTTCTTTCCCAGAGGTTTGTGCTTTTCGGTGGTGTGTGGGCTGTTCTCCATGCCGCCAGCAGTCACTGCCCCTCCAGGGCCACGGTCAAGGTGCCCTGGACCTCGGGGGCCTTCTCACTGGCTCCACAGTCACTTGCAGGAGGCTCAGGGCCAGGCAGCAGGGAGGCAGGGCTACAGCGTTCGGAGTGGAGGAGCCTGGGGCAGGCTATTTGGAATCAGCAGAGGGGCCAGGAAGCCGGCTTCACCCATGTTCCTCTCACTGGGCCCTTCTCTGTCACGGGGTCTTCCTTGGGGACTGCTCTGGACGTGGGCCAAGCCCAGGCTCACACAGCCTTCTAGCTGCACCCTCTCCCCGACCCCTCTGCTCTGTAAAAGGACAGCAAGGGAGGGCTCCCACCCACTGAACCCAAGGTTGTAGGTGGGGGTGGTTCGAGGGCACGGCTCCCAGGTGAAAGTGTGTGGGCATATGGGGAAGGGGGCAGAGTGTAGGGCTGGCCCGACACGTGTGGCCTTCAGTTGTTCTCAAAGAGAGACAGAAGGTCGTCATTACTATTGCTTGGCAGGTCGGGGGGGTCCAGGTAGGAGAGGAGCTCGTCGGGATTTGTGAGTTCTGGAAGGAGCTGGAAGAGAAGAGCACAGGTGTGCAGATGAAGTGTGGGTGGAAGGCTCAGCCGAGGTGAGGAAGGCAGGGGTGGCCCTGGCCTGGACACCCCCACTAACCTGCCTGCCGGGGTCCTGACCCAAAGGAGGGGTGAAAGGCAGTGTTGGACCAGGCTTGCTCACCAGCCCCTGGGCCTGTCTGGGGGCACACTCAGCCTCACGTCAGCCTATGTGAGAGGTCCCGAAGGCTGACATCTGATTCTCCTCAGGTACGGCCTTAGGCGCCCCTACCCTCAAGTGTGGTGGGCTCAAGGGATCTCCTCTTAATGAGTGTGTTCCTCTGCCCACTTCAGACCCTGTTGTGAGGGGCTGTGGGGTCTCCTAGTGGGAGCCCCATGTTTCAGATATAACAAGGAGAGCTGGTGGGAGGGCAGAGAACCAGGGAAGCCCTTATCAATTTTGGGGCCAAGTCGGTAGCCCCTTCCCTCTATCAAGTCAGAAGGAAAAGTTGCACTCTGTGGGGCGTCTTTCTGTGTTATGTTGTGGGGGAACCCAGGAGGGCTGTAATATGGAGCCCTATATACGGCGAAGCCACTTGACACACCTGAGGGATAGAGAGCCAGGTGGGCTTAAGAGAGGGGCGGCAGGGCGAGTACAGGAGTGGAGGCCGAGCCCAGCCTGGATCCCAGGCACACGGGTGGGGAAGGGGAGGACAGTCTTAGCTGACCTCGTGCACCTGCCCAGGGCTGGTGTCTCCCCTCCACATTCCAGGACACTCAGACCTCAGCTGCCCATTCTGATCTGCTGCTGCCCCTGACCCAACTTGCGACAGCCCCCGATTCAACAACCCCTTTGAATCACCCCATGGGACCCTAGAGTGAGCCATGGAGCAAGCAGAAGCAGCAGGTTACAGACACCACACAGACGAGCACACTGGAGAGACACACGCCACACAGACAGCGCTGCCACGCCCCACCCCCGCCCTGTGCACACAGAGACAGCGAGCTCAACAAGGGGGAGAGGGGAGGGAAGGGGGCAGGGACCCTCCTGTAGGCCTCCAGAACCTCAGGCCAGGGGACTCTGGGAGTACTTGGCTAGAAGGTGAGGGAACAAGATTGAGGGCAGACCATGGCCAAGGGGCATGAGGAAGGAGGGAACGCTCACTCGGATACTTGGTGACACTTGTCCATCCAAGGGACTCCCCTGATTTTGGAGGCAGGGGAGGCTGGCTGGTGCCCACTCACTGCCCCATAGGGAGGCTGCTCTGGGGCCTCTTGCCCTCACCACCCATCCCTTCTCTTGAGTAGGTCCTGGTGCCAAGCCTAGCCCCAGGCCTAGGCAAGTGGAGACCCCAACTTACATCCAGCGAAGGCTCCGGCATGTCGGACGCTCCCTGCGCTCCGGCCTGACCCTCTAAGGCTGAGGAGGGGTTAAAGGTCAGGTCGCTGTGTGGATGGTTGCTGGGAGCGGCCTGAGGCGGTTGCCGGGGTGGCTGGGAAGGAGGAGGAGCCCCGCTGTGATGTAATGGAGGCCCTGCCTGGTTGCTGGGGTGTGGTACGTGCAAGCCTTGTATGGAGGTATGGGGCTGGTCAGAGCTGCCAGCGTGGGGGATCTGTGGAGGACGAGAGAGTAGGAGAAAAGTGAGGTGACCAGGTACAGTGACAAGATGCCTGGAGAAAATGACAACCAAACCAAACCAGGAAAACAAGCAAACAAACAAAAAACCCAACTCAAAGCCACCCGTCACAAAACGGAATGTTCCTGCCGAGAAACAGAAACAGACCTCCCCGAAAACCATCCACGGGAGGGTACGGAGGAGGAAGTAGGAAGAGACAGGCACAGACATGGAGAGTTAGGGTGGGGCCCCTTTGCCCCCACCCTGGACTCCAGCATCCTGATACTGAGCAGCGTGGATGGAGAAGCAGGGGTCAGGTTTCCGGGGAGCAGGGAGGCGGCGCACGCAGCTGGCAGCATGGTGCAGGCTAGGCTGGACGGCAGATGGCAGACACGACACACACGGCAAGGGCAGATGTGTGCTGGAGTGGGTCTGCGGGCCCCAAAACAGGCCTAACCCTTCCCAGCGCCTGCCTGAGGCAAGAACCACCAGGCTCTCAGCACAAGCCCTGCCTCTAGCCTTCAGGGGGTCAGGGCGGAGCCAGTCCAAGGAAGGTGGAGGTGTGAAGGAAAGAGGCCTCACAGTACCCCCTGCTTGAGGCTGGGGGCTTCTCTAACCACTACCTTGAGAGAACCGCCCCACTCAAGGCTCCCATGGCAGGAAGGCTGTTGCCCCCAGGAGACGGGGGCTTTCAGAGTTCAGATCTCTCAGGGAAAGGCCTGTCCCACCTCTCTCCCACCCTGAGCATCCCGCAGACCCCTCAAACTAGAAGGGGCAGCTTGATGACCAAACTCCTCCCTCCATGTCCTCTAGGTGGCTCCGTAAACATTTCTACTGTCTTCCTTGGAGGGTTTGGGAACAGTGGCCCTGCTGGTCAGGAATCTCCTCATCCCAGTTTCTCATCCTGCCTGTTTCTCCTCCCCGACACGGCCCCACAGCACAATACCCCAAGAGTAAGACTTGTGACCCACTGGGACCCTCATGTGGAATGCACGCATAAGGAAGACCAACGACAGCTGGAGGTATCAGGGCCTGTCACCAGTATGGGGCCTGCCTGTGGGCACAAGGACCCGGGCCTGTGGATGCCCCCTCCTCTGCCACAAGGCAGCTGATACTGCTAGTCCCCAGATGCCGTGACACAGTCGCCGGCATCCTCCCCGGCTCCCCCAAACTTATGACATCATGCTATGGACTGGAGGACACACTCTGGGACCCTGCAGATATACCTGCCAACCTGGCACAACAGGGTCTTTGGGCGAGTTGGCGCTTGCTTATAGCTCTCTAGCTGGACCCAGGCTACGAACTGCTCCCAGCTACTTGCTCAGCCAGGGGGCCAGACTGGGTTTATTTTAGGGTCACCCTCACCCCTTTATGTACGTCTATGCTCTCCTCGGATGAAGCCCTCCAAGGGTGAAGGCTGGGCACGGCTAGGGCGCAGCTCAGGGAGCTCTGATGTCAACCCACGACAAGGAAGTCAGGCAGCAGGGCGAACAGAAAGCAGGGTGAGTGTCTTGTTGGAAACAGGATGTGTCCATGTTGGGGTGTGTGGTCAGTGTGTTTGCTGGGGCAGGAGGACCAAAAGAGGCCTGCCCCAAATTGGAAGCCCCAAGAAGCAGAAAGTAACTTGTAAAATCTTGGTCAGCTTCAAACACAGAATTAAAAGATTATGGAATGTATCCATGAACTTTTGGATGCTCCTAATATTTCAGACTCTGTATTCTGGAATCCAACAGGAATGTCCGCCCCAAGTCCTTTGGAATGATACCACTCCTGCTGAGGTTGGGAGGGCTGGGGGCAGAGCAGTCGGAGGTCAGGCATGTGGGTCTCAGGACAAAAGGTGAAGAGAGCCTGAAGTGGAACCTGGGGTCTAGGCCCACCTTACCCATTGGCACCCCCACCGTCCCACCTCCTACTCAGGAGAGACCGACGGTGACTGACGGTGGTAAGTCATTCAGCTCTTCAAGCCTATCTTTCCCCAGAACACCAGCTCTCCTTCCACCCAGCACTGCCAGGACCTGAGCTCCCACTAGGCCCAGCCGTAGTCAGCTAAGCTGATGGGTACCTTCAGCGCCCCCTAGAGGCTGGAAGGGTGAACAATATACCGGATGTCTGACTTGGTGTGGGGAGGGAAGGAGTGCACTGAGCCTCCTCAAAGTGTCTCCTGGTGAGACATGCCTGGGTTTGTGACTGCAGCCAGGTCAGCCATGGCATGGTGTGATGGGGTGTGTATAGGTTAGAGTGCAGGGAAAGACTCAGGTGAGAGAGACAGGGACCATGGAGTGTGTGTGTGTGAAGGCAAAGGCCCAGGTGAGAGAGACAGGGACCGTGGAGTGTGTGTGTGTGTGTGTGTGTGTGTGTGTAGGGAAAGGTCCAGGTGAGAGTGACAGACAGTGGAGTGTGTACAGGTGTGTGCGCAGGGAAAGGCTCAGGTGAGAACAAATTGAATGAATAGGCCAAGGAGAGAGACAGGTCCAGTTGAGTGTGTACGGGGGTATGTGCAGGGAAAAGGTTCAGGTGAGACAATTCCACTGGAATGTATACAGGTGTGTGTGTGTGTGTGTGTGTGTGTGTGTGTGTGTGTGTGTGTGTGTGTGTGTATGGAAAGATCCAGGTGAGCACACTAGTCTGGCGGAGTTTGTAAATGTGTTTCCTTATAAGGAAAAGGCCAGGTGTGAGATCGCCAAGTCCCCAGGCACTGCTATGTGATGGGCCATGACCAACCTTATTTCCTTCTGAGCCCCAGACCCAATTCTTAGTCTTGCCCTAGCCTGAGAGGAAACTAGGGGTCTACCTCAGAAAGGTCCTCTGCCCAATCAGCCCCAGGAGGCTGGGGTAGGTAGTTTGAGGATAGGAAGATTTGGGGGACTGCAAGTGGAAGGAGGTACTCACAGTTTCCTGCATGGGGTGACTGAGGGGCTTCTCGAGGGCAGCCATGTTGTTGGGCATATCCGGGGGGTGGGAGAGCTGGGGGGGCCCGTGCATGAAGTCACTCATGGATGTCCCACCAGTGTTCCCGTGGGGAAAATCAAAGTTGCTGTGGCCCTGGTAGTTGTTGCCTGGCAAAGGGGTGAGACACGGGAAGGGTGGTCACCTATCAGGTCAGTGGCTCCCCCAGCCCAATGGAAACAGGGGGCAGTGTGTGTGCAGGGGCTTCCTGGGGAGTGGCGAGGACAGGGGATTGAGCTGAGACCCAAGTCTGGCCTTCGGCAGCAGCTACTGAGCTGGACTCCCAGATCTGAGACCTCTGCCTCCATGGGCCTCACCTCACAGCTTGGAAGGCCTCACCCAAACGGGGTGTTCAGAATCCACCCACAAAGAAAGCGGTGTCAGGTCAAAGTGACACCAGGAAAAGTCAGCTGCCACACTCCCTGGCCACTGTGCCCCCACCAGGTGGCTACATGAGAGGTCAGAGGACAAGCAAGGCTGCCCTTGGCACTTGTGGGGCTGCTATCCACCTGGGAGTCCTAAAATTTCACACAGCCCATTAGGGTGCTGGGGCAGGCTCAGTCACAGGCAGTGATAACGGTATGAGGGCCTCGAGGGCTTGGCCCTGTGGCCGAATGGTGGAGTTACAGGGGTGGGCACTGTCCATGACACATGGGAAGAGCGAAGGTTCCAGGCACATGGGCTTCTTGGATGGCTTCAGCTGGGGGAGGTGGCACTTGCGCATCAAGCAAAGCAGGCGCTGACGGCCCAGACTTAGGGGGGTGGATGAAGAGGGAAGGGTGGGTGTGGGCTGCTGCAGCCCCAAGACTAGGGATTGGGGACTGTGTGTGACATTCACCCTGCTACCACCAGCACAGAAATCCTGGGCTGGATAGTGGGGACACCTGGGGCAGCCCCCCACCCACCTTGGCTGCTGTAGTCACTGGAATTGGTGCCTCCGGGTGGAGGTGGGAGCGGGTAGGGGGATGGGCCGGGGCCCAGGGCTGCGATCATTTCCATGACGTTAGGCATGATCATCTGGCTGGGACTCATAGTCTTGAAGCGCTTGGAAGGGATGCTGTCAGGGTCATCCTTGATGTGCAGGTCTGACTTGATGGGCACTGGCCGCCAGCTGCATGTGGGGTCGATGGTGACCTCTTCAAATTCAGAGCTGGGATGCACGAAGGGGAATGGAGGGCAGCTTTAGGCACAGGACCCACACCACATGGACAGACCCCTGCCCTCTTCTCATAGAATCCATGTAGGGCTCTTGAGAACCGGGAAGGGCCGAAATGAGGGCATTCCCACCCAGGGAGCAGCCGTAGGGGGTACTGTTAGGCCCTGCTCCAGCTGAGTTTGGGCCCTTCTGGAGAGCTCCTTTATCCCTAGGCCCACAAGTCACCACGGGAAAGCTGGAGAGGTGAGGATTGTGGGGGATTCAGGAGATATGGGGCTGTACACACGCTTTCTTCTTTCCAATCTAGGCTGGTATCCCTTCCCTTCCCCCATAAGCCAGGGAGCCCACTTACTGCTGGATGGCATTCAGGACCACCCCCAACTAGCCAGGGAGCCCACTTACTGCTGGATGGCATTCAGGACCACCCCCCAGCTAGCCAGGGAGCCCATTTACTGCTGGATGGCATTCAGGATCCCCCTCAACCAGCCAGGGAGCCCACTTACTGCTGGATGGCATTCAGGATCCCCCTCAACCAGCCAGGGAGCCCACTTACTGCTGGATGGCATTCAGGATCCCCCACATGTACTGATCCACCTCCAGGCCTTCCAGCAGAGCAGTTTTACTGGAAAGGAGAGTGACAGGTTTGACCTTTGATTCCGGGCCCTGGGTGTGTTGGGTGTGGGTAGATGCAGCGCCCCATTCCCAACTGGGTGTCAGTGAGCCCCTGTACTGGGCACTGCCGGAGACCCAGCAGGACAAGGGCACTCTTGAGGGATGATGCACAGAGCCCCTCCCTCTGGGCCCAGATCTCCTGTCTGCTGTTAGGTGAGGGAGCCGTCACGTGGGGAGGGGGTGTCACTCACTTGCATACAGGACACCTCCAGGTCCCTCTCTCACAGTTCAGCTGCAGGTATGACTCCAGATCAAAGCACTGTGAGGCCAGAGGGAAGAGAGACAGATGAGACCAGGGCTGCTTAGAAGCTGCCTGGACTGGGGACTCGCTCTGCTGGGGCCCTTGTGGCCATCCTGGTCTGCAGGCCCAGCCCCACCATTGTTTATGCCCTCAGGTAGCCCCTGGGGCTAGAGAAATCAGGCCTCCCCTTCTGCCCAGCCCTCAGGCAAAAACAAATCCACTCAAAGTGATAAATCAGAGACAGAGTGAATAAGGTAACCAGACAGCAACTTGCAGGGACATTCTCCCACCACAAAGCCCTCAGAGACACAATGGGTGGCCAGCCCCAGTGGCCATCGACCCTAGTAACCAGGCAGCAACTAAATTTAAAAGGCCTGGTATGGCCCCAGCCAGACCCTGCTAGACCCTTCCTCCCTCAGTCTGCAGGGCAGGGACTGTTTGCCCCCATGCCCTATTTTGCACAGGGTTGTGTTAAAGAACCAGATTGTGACAGTCATTTGTTCAGCAACCACTTCCTGAGCCCCTGAATGTGCACTACTGTGTCCCTGTCCTCATGTCCCATAACCTACCGCAGTCATACATGCTGGCTTCCAGCTGGTGCCTAGCATCTGCCAGGGTGATCTAAAATGCTTCTGGAATACCTCAGAATCTAGCACGGAGCATGCAGACAAGCATAAGGGAATGGTAGGGACGAGAGAACTCAGCACTGACCTCCATGAGGTCTGCGGGCCCCCCGTGCCCTCCGTGGACTGCCCACCTGGACATGCTTGCAGTCGTGGCCTCGAGCAGGTAGCTGGATGCGCCGGAATGTAATGGGGCACTTCAGAGACACTTTGATGGCCGTCTGCTCTACTCCATCCTCCCCGTTAAGGGTCGTGTTGCCCGATGAGGCTGCCACGCTGCTGAAATTCCGCTTGACTGGGGGACAGAGGCATAGGCAGGTGAGGGCAAGGCCCGGGGAGACTCGCCATGCTGTTCCCCGAAGTGCCCATGTGTAGAGTGAACGTGTCAAGGGAAGCCCCCAGATCCAGGGACGTTTTACAAAACATATGGAAAACACAGTCTGACACCTGTTCTGGATTGCCTCGGTCAAGGTAAAGAGCCCCATCAGGAGCTTTTGCAAGCGAACAACTACCCGGTAGAGTTTTTGGCTTCAGGTGACCTGCACATTACCTCTAAGAGTTGTTACCCTTCAGCTCCTCCAGGAGCTCACAGAAACTTCCCAAAGACGCTGACTTTAATCCAGGCAGGCACTTCCCTTGCCAAAGTTTAAGTGTGAGATGCAGTGGGGGGCCAGTCTGGAGCCCACGCCCTGGGCTACCTCTTTAGTGAACATCTTCCTTCTCCACATCCTCCCACACTACACGGTCCAGTCTAGTGGTCACCTCCTTTAGGAAGCCAGCCTGGCCTGTCTATCCCATGTCTTCCCACTCTGGGCTCCCGCAGCCTGGCATTTGGTTGCCATCTCCCTCACATCTGTGTTATTGTTGGCTGTGTCTGTCCTGGCTTCTGAGCTCGGAGAGCCCAGAATTCCTGCCAGGGCCCAGGTTCTATGCTACCTGACTTATCATTGTCACAGTCCCAGGTGGAAGGAACTGGGACTCAAGAAACATCTGGGGGCCGGTGGTGGCTGGCATGGAGCTAAGGTTGGTCCTGTGTGACTGGGACCACCTCTTGCTCCCGAACTTGGGCAGTGTTAGAGGCATGGTCTGTGCTCGTGCCCCGACTCACTTTTTGTGATGCAGTGCTCGGCGGGCAGGAGCCGCTTCTTGAGAAGGCCTTGTAGCACGGAGCGCACGGAGGGCCGGTGCACCAGCTGCAGCACAAACAGGTGCGACTACAAGAGAGAGAGACACGTCACCCTGACTCATGGCTCCCAGTGGCCCCAGACCCCACAGCCAGGGCAGTGTAGGAGAGGGAACCTTGGAGCCCAAGGATGTTCCCTGGGACCGGTGAGCCTGGAAACCCAGGTGGAATCACCTGTGTCTGTCTGCTTGAGGACAAGGTGGAACTTGGCAGTTGGGGGAGGGGCACGGTGGGGACACATCCAGGACCAGGATGTGGGGCAGGCCTATCTGTGCACTGGGCAGCTCTGGGCCCACAGAGAGGGCAGGAATGCGGGGCCCACCCTGACACCACACTCACACAGCAGCAGGCCGTGACAGTGATCTGGATGGTGTTCCGGCCTGGCTGGCACACATGCTTGAGGTGTAGGGGCTTGTGGGAGGTCTTGTTGTCGCCACGCTCGATGGTCAGGGGGGTGGCGTTCACGCTGACCTGCACTGAGGCTGGCCAGTTGGTGTTCATCTGCCTGTCCTCGTGGTGATAGCACTTGAACTGCAGTTCCAAGTCAGACCTGTAGGGGGCAGGTGACACTGGATGGGTTCTTGCAGGGGGTTGTCTGGAGACTCTTTGTGACCTCAGGGCAGGCCACACAACTCTGAACTCACCACAACCCCCAGGTCCTTCAGGACACCCATCCCCACTGTGGCTGCTCCCACAAATCTCTCATCAAAACCTTCTTCCTCACACCTTCCACAGCCCAGCTTAGGTTAATAGGCCCCTGTGGCCCGTCCCTGGAGAGATGACAGAGGGCAAGGCGATGCTGCTCCCATAACTTTGATCCCTATTCACCCAGGACAGACAATGGAGCAAAAAGGACAGATGCCAATTAGACTGGGGGGTCAGTGGGGGTTGGCCTCCAGACCCCTGTGGCCAGGGTGATTTCTGGTTCAGTTCCCCTGATGGGGTGATGCGGGGGACACACTCAGATCCTCAGGTATCTATCTGATGGATGAAGTGACTGCTCTGGCCTGGACACACGCTGTCCGTGGGGAACAAGTGATGACCGTTCAGATAAAGGAGGAAGGGGCTGGGTGTGGGCAGCTCCATCAGGAAGACCGAGCAATATACTGGGGGCCCACCAGGGGAACTGAAGTCCAGGGGTCCCCTTTGTGGACCTCTGCACATGCTCACCAGCACCCTGGGGTGCTTGCCCTACTGCCTGGAATCCCGCATAAGTTCTTAGACTCGATCTGTAGCCCGTACGCTGCCGAAGGGGCTCTCCTTACTCCTCTGTCCTCACGTTATCAGCAAGCTCTCCACCTAGGTCAGGCGAGGGGACTTCATGCCTGTGAGTTAGTCAGTTGGGTTGGGATGAGGAGGCTGGCCCTCCGTTCCTGTCTCACACCTGGTGTACAGGATCCTCTGGAGAGCACAAATAGCTAAGTGCTTGATGACAGGCTGAAAGGTTGCTGATTCCAACCCACTAGGAGGTGACTAAGGAGACAGGCCTGGCGAGCCGCTTCTAAAAGCCACAGCCCCGAACCCTTATTCTGCTCTCTGCCCAATCTGGCTCAGGGAGGAATTCTGGAGGTCTAAGAAGAGCAGGTCCTGCCAGGTGTTGAGGGCATGTGAGCATGGATGTGGATGGTGAGTGCATGAAGGCCTGCCTGTGACCCGAAAACAAGCACTGAATTGTCCATACAAGGTCAGCAGCATCTCCTGGACTTGGGGGCCAAGGCAACAAGGAGGGTGCTCCTGGTAAGATGAGAGAGCAAGCCCTCTCCCACCCTCTTTTTTTTTTTTTTTTTTTTTTAAACTCCCTTTTGGAAACTTGTAAGCCAGTCACTTCATACCTTTTAACCCCCCCCCCCCCACACACACACACAAACTTCATTTTAAGCAGCCAATGTCTAAGTTGCCCATCCCTATCTACCCTGTGTACAGAAGGGATAGCATTGATACTTGATGTGAAGACACCTTCCCTCTCAGTTGATATTTTGAGCTACTAGTGCTTATAAATTGGGCTGCTAATCTCACCGTCAGCAGTTTGGAACTTCCAGCTGTTCTGTGGGAGAAAGAGGAGACTTTCTACTTCCATGAAGATCTACAACCTTGGAAATCCTATACAGGTTCACTATGAGTTGAAACTGACTCCACAGCATATAACCTTCACCACCACCACCTCCATTAAGTATAGGTCAAATTCATTAAATTGTAGCAATTTACACTTGTTTCCTTTATTGAAAACTTTTTTTTTTTTTTATCTTCCTGTAGTCGAGTTCTGATAATCATGCCATTGAGGCTAGGTCAAATGGGTACTAGCTACAAGTTTGGGCATTCTTGTGAGTCTCCCCTCGCTTCATATCCGCTGGATGCTTCACTCTTAGCTCTTGCCCTCTGTGGCTATGTCCTTGTCCATGGGCTCAAGTGTCCCCCGGTCCCATCACACTTTGGATCAACCAGTTCTTCCTCTTCTCTCTCTCATCTCCAGGTCAACGGGAGTGTATGGAACATGGTTGAACTCAGCCATTTCTTCATTGCTGCCTTTCCCCCATCTTCCACTTACCAGTAAACCAATATGGTTGTCAGCAAGCTTACATGCCTGCTCATGCACTCCCTTGGAGTTTCAGTCTTAACATGGGGATTTGTCCTGAAGGGACTTGACTGGTTGCCTTGATGGCTCCCCAGTGAACAACTTGCTTGTAGAGCCAATCAGGCTGCCGTTTTTGATTTTTGGGTTTTTCCTGCTGGTCTTTCTTTCGAGAAGCATCTTCTGTTCCAGGCTGGTATGCATGTCCTTCCAAGTGGGACTGTCCCACCTCAGAAGGTTCTGGACGGGGCTCAGGATTCACCTAAGGTCCTACACACGACAAAGGCTCTGCAAGAAGCCTATTTCACTGGGCATGTTCTAGAACCTCTTTTAGGTATTCCAATCAGTTATAGGTCTGCCTACCCTCTTGTCTCATCTTTCTTGTCTAAGGAGCTCTGGTAGCAGAGTGGTTACGAATCAGGCTGCTAACCTCAAGGTCGGCAGTTCGAAACTACCAGCGGTTCTGCGGGAGAAAGATGAGGCATTCTGCTCCCGTAAAGATTTACAGCCTCAGAAACCCTGTGCAGGGTCGCTATGAGTTGGAACCGACTCCACGGTACTTAACAACAACAATAACAACCCTCTTGTCTGAGCGTCCCAGCTCCCATGGCAGCTCTGTGCCTTTGGCCGCCTGCTCAGCAGGGTCAAGGCAACTGCCGTGGAGCACGTGTGGCGTGTGTGTGGTCATCTGCAGGAGTGTGATGGGCTCAGACGCCTGGTGACACAAGGTGAGTCCTGGTTGAGGAGGAAGCACCAAGGGGTGCTGGACCGTGGCCCCAGTGTTGGCCCCTTGGCAGCGGTGACAACTAACAAAGTCAGAAACGCCTATGGCCTGTCTCCTCGTCTGCTAACAGGAAAAGCATTACCCACTTACATGAACAAGAGCATGTGTGGAAGGCACTGAACACAACACTGCTCAGCAAAGGGGCTTCCCGAACCCTGTACTCCAGAATGTTCCAACTGGGTCCCATCTGGGCCCCAGTCCTGTGCCAAGGTCAGTCCCTTGCAGGCTGCCCATCCCAGAGTTCATCTTCAGGACCAGCTCTGGCCAGAACAAACCACTTTAGGATTTGGAGTGCTTCACCCTTGTCAACTCAGGGCCTCTTGTGAACATCCTTCTCTTTAGTGTTTGGGTATCCGACAAGTGCTCCCTGCCCTGGACCATGTGCTGTAGCTGCCTGTCCCTCTCTAGGTGCCATGACGCTGCAGCTGTCGCTTGTGCTCACCTCCACATCAGCGTCTGGTGGACCGTGGGCCGCAGGTGAAAGACATGGTTGCTGACGGCCAAGTTGTGCTCCAGACGGAAGGGCTCCAGCACGACGCCATCCCGCACAGGGAACGTGAGCCGCAGCTCATCGTTGTGGTTGGCTGCCACAGAAAGAGGGGGTCTGATGAGCCACATACCTCTAAACACGGTTACTCACACGTGGCTAGTATGAACAGAGTCCCATACCTGGCTAAATACCAGGTGTACCCCAGAGACGGCCCGACTCCCCACTCGGGAAGTCCAGGAGCTTGCTCTCAGCCCCCACCTACGGCTGAGCACCAGGACTAGAGAAGATTTGGGACATCGCCAAGCAAGTTTCCAGCCTGTAACCAAACCAGTGTTTCCTTTCCTTCCCTCTCTTGGGCACGGGATCTGGGTCAGGGGATGTGACCACCTGGTCCAGGAGAAGAGCTCTCAGCATCCCAAGCTGCCTGGGATATACTGTTTCTGGGGTGCAGCAGGTGGGAGAAGATCTGCCGGTGTCCCAGACAGAGGTCTCATCTGTATGTACCTCCTGTTTCTCTAAGAGATAGATGGGGCTTACCTGCTCTCAAGCCCCTTGCCCTTTCAACTCTACCCTGACCCCCAACCCCAACGAATTTCCAAGCCCCCTGCTCCTGGTCCCTGGGGCAAGCGTCCCCCACCTCACAATGGCCCCTGGAGCAGAGCCGCTGGGGCCACAGGGAGAAAAGATTAGGTACTCACCCGGGGGCGGTGGCAGAGCACTCATATTTGGCTTGATGTCGGGCGGGAAAGGAGGTTTAACATCTTGACTTGGGGACAGGTATGGGGGGATGTTGCTTCCGGGGGTGATGGGGGGCGTGGGGTTCCCTGGAACAGGTGAGTGGGGATAATTTGCCACAGGAACCGGCCTGGGAGGCTGGAGGGAAACAGAGACCATACAGAGATTATGGGGTCACGGGGATGGGAGAGTTCACGGCTCTAGACAGATAAGCCCGCCCCTGGCCGGCACCCCGGCTTCTTCCCCCAGTGGGGCCCTGGAAAACCATGCCCTTCACTTGAGTCACGGTGCTGCAGAATCATAGTGTCAGGTAGATGCACGGCTGCCCGCCCATTTGGCAGATGGGGATACTGAGGCTAAGGTGCTAAGGGATTTATCTAATACGCCTCCAGGAGAGGCAAGCTGAGATCAAGGTCAGGTGTCCTACTTTCCCCTTCGAGATTCTAAGCCACACCCTGTCTTCCCAGGAGGGTCCCCATGAGGGTCCTCTGATAGAGTAGTTTCTAGAGGTCCCCGAGGAGCCCTCCTCTACCTCAGTCCTCCTCTGTTCTCTTTTGTGACTACTTGGGTCCATGTTTATTCCTCCCCGTCCATCCAGAGCAGGTGACCAGGAAGGGTACTCGCACCCTCAGACCTAACATCCAGACAGGCCACCGGCAGGAGCAGCCTTTTTGGTCCGATAAAATACTTTGTTTAAATCCACACATACCCTACTGACATTCCCTTGGGTGTAGTTACTGTAGCTGCTTCCGGAGAAGGTGTTGTTTTGCCCATTGAATTGTTCTGGCTGTTAAAACAAGATGAACAGCAGTGTTACAAAAGCCGCTCTCCATCCTGACTTCTGACTTTCCCAGAAGCGCAGGGGATGTTCTTCCAGTGTGGGGGTAGGGAGAGGAATCCAGGGTACAGGGAGGGGCCCAGTTTTGTCTAGTTAGGTTTCTTTCTGCCCACAGCCATTCCTCCAGACCAAGAGCTTCTAGAAATAGAAACACTTCAGGTGTTGAAATTGGAGCAAAAATAACAAATCCACATGGTGAGGGGCCCTGTCAACAAGCATGATTCTTCGCAACTCAATGGAAAGTATTTCCTGAGTTGTCTTCATCCGGAGAAGGCATTTTAGGCAGTTACGTCCTGTAAAGTCATCCCCACACTGAATGACCGAGTGAACCCTGAACCAATGCTCTTAGAGAAACTCCTGGGCTAGCTTCCTCTGACCTCTGCTTACACATTTTGGTCAGGTGATCAGTAGGAAAGCTTGCTTTATGTATTTTTCTGTTTCCAACCCCAAACCAAACCTAACACTATCAAGTCGATTCTGATTCACAGTAAGTCTGTAGGCAGAGAAGAACTTCCCCACAGGGTTCCCGAATCTGCAAATCTTTGTGGAAGCAAATTTCCACATCTTTCTCAGAGATTGGTGGGTTTGAACCTCCAACCTTCTGGTTAGCAGTTAAGAGCTTGGGCCACTTTGTGTTGCTATTTAAGTGCACCACATAAATATAAATTCCTGGGTGGTACAAATAGCTAATGCACTTGGCTGCTGCCCACAAAAGGTTAGAGGTTTACGATCACCCCAAGAGGAACTACGGAAGAAAAGCTTGGCAACACACTTGCCAAAAGTCAGCCAGTAAAACCTCAGTGGCGCACAGTTCTGCTCTGACAAGCGCAGGGTCACCATGAACTGGAATTGATTTAACAGTAACTGGTTCAAATATGGAAAATCAGAAATAACTCAGATGTCCACAGATGGGATGAGAAATGCAGTCATCTCGGGGGCATTAGGCAGAGGGATTTGCCGCAACAAGTCATTTGCCCATGGTTTCAGAGTAAGTAAAGGTTCCAAATCACAACCTAGTAACAATTATATACAATGTTGGTACCTAGGTGTGCATACCGAGAGACAAAGTTCAAGTGAAATGTTGATGTATTTAGGGTGCCTGATTTTTCTTTAAAATATGTAGAGTCTATGTATCACAAATAAAAGTAAGAGAAGGAAAACAATCACATGAGTTTCACCAGAACAGGAACAAAAAAAAAAACCCAGGTTGGCTTTCTTGGCCACCATATGCATAGTGTTTTGGGTTGAATTGTGACGTCCAACAAGATATGTTGAAGTCAGCTGCTACAAGCTGCCAACACCACTGGTATGTCAGCGAATGAGACCTTATTTGGAACTAGAATCTCTGTAGATGTCATCAAGTTAAGATCAGGCCATAGAGGAGGAGTAGGATGATGGCCTTTTCAGAAGGGAGAATGTCAGGAAATGGCAGGCATTGCGTGATGCAGCTGCCAGCTAAGGAATGCTAAGGATTACCAGCTGCAACCGGAGCTAGAAGTGTGAAAGGACAGCTCCCTCTAGAGCTTGGAGAAGGCATGGCCTGCCAACACCTTGGTTTGGGCCTTTTGGCTTCTGGAACTATGAGAACATTTCTGTGGTGTTAAGCCATTCAAACCTCTGGTCTATGGAAGCTCGGAGCACATGGGGTATGTTCCGAGGCCTCTGCCTGCCCCCGACCTTGGTGTCTGGAACAGAATGGCACAGATGAGAAGTAAAGGGACCTTGCAGGTGGATCTCAGCTCAGGCGGTGTGGGTGGTCCCAGGGTGAAACTCACCTTGTAATACTGCCCCATGTTGACCGTGGGGGGCGGGTACTGCCCAGTGCTCGGCTGGCTGGGCATCCTTTGCCCAGGGTAGTTAGGAGAGGTGAGTGGCCGCGGTGGGTTGGGAGTGGGGTACTGGCCTGGCTGGGTTGGGAACTGGCTGCTTGGTCCATATTGCTGGTTTCCATAGTTGGGCTGCAGTGTTGGAAAAGGGGGGGTGGACAGGCCATCAATGTCTCTGAATCAAGCCGCTCACCCTACCTCAGCTTTATAGTTAAAATGGTATCATTACTTTCTAGAAGGGGATGGAAATGAATTACGAAAATGCCAACTACAACTATGGTGCTAGACTGAAGTAAGGCTGAGACTGGTGTAGGACCCACTACGGCAGAAGGGAGTCAAGGATGGTATCCAAATTAGGCAGATTTTCCTGCTCTAAGTGTCACAAGTAAGAGAAGGACCTTCCTAACCTGTAAGGTAACCTAGGACATCCCCTTATGCCTGTTTCCTGGCTTACATGCCACTCAGTCCCCCATCAGAGCTGTCTCTCTAGGGGCTCTGCCTGGTGCTTCGGGGTTACCCCAGACTCTCGTTCATGCCACCACACACAGGGGGCTTGTTTCTCTCAGCTCCTGACAAGTGCATGCAGGCAACAGGTTCGGGAGGTGCTGGCCCCATAATCCACATGGGTGGTGGTCAGTTCTGGGCTTGGACAGAGGTGGGAGAGCCAGCTCCAGGAGGTGGCAGGGCCACTGTCCTCGAGATGCACAGCTGGGAGACAGGGTTGCTTGTGTCTGAGTAGAACTGGGCACAGGTGGTTTGTAGCCTGGTAGTGGCAGCACCTGATGAAGCGGATGCTCAATCCAGCAAACAGTCGATTCATTCCCCTTCTCTGGCATGGCCGGCAGAGGCCGAAACAAGTCACTGGGTGCTGGCGCTGTGGTTCCCATCGGGCCAATGACCAGGAATTCCGCTACAGCCTGGCCTCATTTGCTTCCCTCAGTACCGTCCTGAGGCTTACTCTCAGCCAAACCAGTGGCGAATCTGAGCACAGAGGATGCTGAGAAGAAGGCTGGAGACCTGGATGGTCTCCATGCAGTGGGGGGGGGGGGGGGGGGGGGGTACGACCAGGGAGCCATCAGTCAATTCCACCATCCTAGGCCCCTCCATGAATGAGGCTTGACCCCAGCACCCTTCTCTCCTCTCCTGGACTCAGGATAGATACCTCTGTGAAGTGTCAAGTTGCTTCCAGGCTGTGCTACAGAGAATGTGGAGCTACGTCACACAGCCCTCCAAACCAAACGTCAAAGCCACAGTTCTGTGATGAGGGGAGGGGGAAGTGCATCTAGGAAGGCTGAGAGAGGAAGGAGTGCTGGCTCAGGATTCTGGGGCCCCGGTCTATTGCAGGCCGGGGAGTGAAAACAGTTAACAGGCTTGTCTGCTAACTTTAAGCTTGGTGGGTCCAGTTTACCCAGAGGTGCTTCAGAAGAAAGATCTCTGGAGCTCAGTTCTACCCTGACACAAACAACTGGCTTCTGGTGTCTTCTGCAGGTGAAGAGCTTGCTGTGGCAGACGGTCCTCAGAGTCACGGCTCATCCCTAAGCCGCCATTTCACACCACCCCCTCAAAGGGTCCTGCTTAAGCCTTCTGTTTCCTGCTGAAGTTTGGGTTCCCGGCAGACAGGAAGCGTGGGTTTTACTTCCCAAAATCTTCTCCAACACCCTGGTGGAACTGGCTGGACAGGAACTAGGTGGTGCTCTCCTGATATAATGCCTTACTTGAGTATCAATGGAGACAAACCCAAGAACCCCATGTCTCTGCCTTGTAGCCACTTCCTCAGGCAGGCCCAGCCTCTGGGGGTTTTTAGAGGGCTCTGCGTCCTCTCACTTTTGGAGGTTAGGGAAGCCCCAACGTCTCATGTAGGCGTCAGAAAGGTTGAGCTCTTGAGTCGAAGTTAACCAGTTTGTTCTCAAGCCAGACAAAAAGCAGTAACAGCGGCCGCTACCCCTTGCTAGAGGCACTGGGGGCTCAGTGGTAAGGTTCTTCTCTTCCATGCAGGGCCCAGTGCCTCATGTACAACAATCACCGGCCCGTTAGTGGAGGCTTGCGTGGTACTATGATGCCAAATGAGTTCCAGTAAAGTTGCCTGACTAAGACATAGTAGGAGGAAAGATCTGATGTTCTCTAAAAAAATCATGACGTGAAAGACTTCTGACCCACAGCTGACCCTGAGCAGGGGAGGGAGTAGGACCAAGCACCATTTTGTTCTGGTGTGGGGCTGCCTTGAGTTGGGAGCTACCATCACCTCTGCTCCGTCGCCTGCGTGACGCCTTCCACACGCCCCATACAGCCCTACAGGGTGGCTGGACAGCCAGCGCCATTTTGCAGATGAGGACAGTCTCAGGGAGGTACAAGTGGCAGAGCTGGCGTTTCCAAAGGTTAGTGTGTGTCCTTCCCAAGCATCACCCCAAACCCTGCACCTTCAGACCCCACATCCTCAGCCCTCTCCACCCTGCGTACCCCACCGTGGCCCTGTCACACTCACCTCTCCTGGGTATGGCCTCTTTATGCTCTGGATGGGAAGGGACTGGGGCCGGGGGCCCGGGTAGGTCTGCTGGGGCATCCGCTGCCCATGTGTGCCAAAAGGGCTGATGCCGGGCGGCCGGGGCTGGTTCATGCCCATAGGAGGACCACTCATCCCCGAGGGAGTCATGCCAGCTGCCATACTGGCGGGGTTCATGCTGCCTCCCATGGAGGCAGGCCCCCGTGGCCCGGGCTGGTTCATGAATTGGCTGTTATACGCCTGGGTAGGACCCATCTGGAAAGAGGAACAGACCTTCAACGGGAGAAGAAGAAAAAAAAAAAAAATAAAATGCCACATGCATTGAAAGTGCAGGGGAAGAAGGTGGGGGAGGCGGGAGGGCTAGGGTGGGTAGGGGGCACTTTGCTGTGTGGCTGCTGGCCTCTTGGGCTCATTGCTGCCCTCTGCAGGCTACAGAGGGAAAACGCAGGCTGGTTGTGGGATGAGGTGGGGGAGGTTACTCGGACAAACAGGCAGCATTTCCAGGAGGCAGGCAAGGGGAAGTGGGGTGCAAGGGGCAGAGATGACAAAGTGTACAGGGGTGTGAGGGGCAGGGAGGGCAGGCAATGAGGATGGAGGTGCGGTCATGAGTAGTCTTGGACAATGGTCTCTATCCACAGTCTCCTACTGTCCCCTCCCCATGCATCCTGTGCCTCTTCACATTCTGCTCTAAGGTCTCGGGCACAGATGGAGTGACAGGAATACACTGGCCATCAGAGGCTAATTTTAGACAGAGACCATTCCTTGGGAGTAGGGAGTAATCTGGAACCTGATCCCCATGCACAGACATCAACCCATACACAACAAACACCCAACCACACACCTACCTGCCCAACTCCACTGACACCCACGGGCTATTGGTCACCCTTCCCCATGCTTCCAGGAAAACCCACATATACCCTGACACCCTGAGCCCGCCCCAGCACACATGGCCCTACAAGCACTGACACCGCAACTCTGACTGGGTGGGTGAGGCTGGACCTGGGCTGGTGGGGACCCTTACCGGTCCATACTGGTTCATGTCCTTGTTCTGTGTCTCCTGCAGAGCTGCCACCGTGGCTGTGGCTGTGGCGGTGGCGGTGGCAGCCGCGGCGGCGACTGCGGCAGCTGCAGCGGCGGCGGCTGGCTGAGTGAAGTCGGCAGGCGGCCTGGTGTGCGGAGGGATGCCCATGCCGGCCGGGGCATTGGGACCCCCAGGGTAGCTGGCGGGAGGGGAGGGCGGAATGGAAGCGTTAGATAGTCAAATATTTACCGAATCTATGAAGGAGCGAGCAAACCTGGTTTTGCCCAGGCCCGCCCTAACCTTAGCTCACAGATGGGACAAGGTACCCCAACTCCAGGTCTGTTGCAGTCTGGTGAGCAGCCCACCAAAGTGTTCCCGGAGCTCACGCTGGGAACAAGGCCGGGTCCACTTCTAGTCTCTGAGGACCCAACTAACGTGGCCAAAGTCTCCCCTGGTGGATGGCAGAACTGGGGTGGAGCTTCTGGCCCGACACCAAATGCCGATGTGTTTAGCCCCAAGTCTGCCCTCTTGGGCTAAACCCAGAAGGGATGTAGACAGCCCTCGTGGCTGGAAGGGGTACGTCTGCTTGCTATGTCTGCCCCACTGCTGGGGCTCCTCGTCCTTCTCTGGTCCTATTATTTCATGGACCAGGAGCTCCCAGGCTTTGCTGGTTCTGCCTCCACCATCGTGGCCAAGCTGATTTTTTAGATTTTTTTGGGTAACTGGATCCCACCTTAGCTGCTCTTCAAGTTTCCAGGGCCTAGGGCTCTGCACGTCTCCCAGCGTATGGAGACATGCGTCAGGAGGACAGCAGCCCTCCTGAGGAGTCTGACAGTCGTTGGAACACAGATGCTGCCTCGTCCCAGGCCAGCCAACAATAAAAGAAATATCAGGGCCTGCCCATGGCTGCCCCACCACCAAGCGGAGATGTGGGGTTTCTGAAGACCAATTAAGACTCCGGCCAGCCCCTCTCACCTGGCCCCGAAGCCCCCACTGCCAGGGTAGTTGGGCCGACCGTACATGCCCTGTTGGAGGTAGGGCTGAGCTGGACCAGCCTTAGCTGAGAATTGCTGCTGCTGCCCAGCAAACTGTGGGGAGCTCAGGCCTGGGTTGCTGGTGGTCATGCCTGACGCCATGGGGTTGCCGCCTGGATTCATGGGGTTGTTGGCATTGGCCATAGGGTTCCCGAGAACCTGTGGACAGAGAGAATGGACATCAGCAATAATGGAGCCCCAGGAAGTATGGAAAGGAGGAGGTAAGAGCTGGATTCTGAGTTCTCCCAACCCACAAAGAGAGATGGAAGCTAGTGGCTGGGCCACACAGAGAGCGGAGATGCCTAACTCGCCAGCTCTGGGCGCAGGCCGGAGACCAAGGGAAGTCCCTGGTTTCTTCCCTTCAGGGCCACAGCCAGCCTGAGTTTTCTGCGTGGGAGATCAGGGCAGATAAAGGGGTGGAGGGAACAGAGCAAGGTGACACGGAGAGCAAGCGGCAGGGTCAACTGCGTGGGAGGACAGGGCTTCTGCCACACGCTTAAGGCAAGGCAGTTTATGAAATCTAACCTGGGCAATTCCAGGGCCACAGACCCCAGACTTTGGAGCCCTGAAGTCAGTAACACAGACAGTTCCACTGTTTACCTAACCAAAGTTATAAATGTGGGGTGGGGAAGAACTGCCATCTGTCAGATGGAAGCCACCTTAGACAGGGACAGTCCCCAGATGCCCAGCTGCTGCCCTACTTGGTACATGTGGACCCGTGGGGTTTGCCTTGAAAGCTGTTTTTTCCAGCTAAGCAGAGTCTGTGAAAGTGAGGAGGGTGGGTTTAATGTAGTGACCCCAAGGCCCACCTGGGAGGGACTGTGGTTGGGGCAGGGCAGGCTCTTACCTGGCTCTGGGACGTATTGGTCACTCCCCAAACCGTGGTGACCACAGAGAGGGAGCCAGGAGGCTGGCTGGTGTTCTGTTGCCAAGGGACTGAGTCATAGGGGAACGACCCATCACTGCAGAGGGAGACACAAGGGTTCTCAGGAGCTGGGACAGAGAAGTGGTCCCACCACCCTACACAGTACCACAGCACACAGTCGTCTGGGTCCCTCAGGGACCTTGGGGATGGCTATATGAAAGCACCCCCCTCCCCAATTGCTATTTGTCTCACCTGAGCCCCAAGTCCATTGGCCCTACCTAGAGAGTTCCTCCTACCATGCTCTGAATTCAAGGGGTTCTCCGGAAGGAACTCTGTATGCCCCCACCCCCCAAACCAGCTTCTCCTCCGACTTCCTTCTTCCTTAGGGCTGGAGGGTCTGAATGGAGTCTCCGCTCTGGATTCCTAACTGGGATCAACTGCTGTGGCCTTTGTAACGAAGGTATCCTTTATCACTACTTTCCTTCCCAGCAAAGCCCAGCTAGTAGGGTGCAGGCTTCCCTGTCCTCCCTTCCCATCCAGGGCACATGCATACCTGTCCTACTAATCTTCCTAAAACAGCGAAAATACTTAGCACCATCAAAGACCTTCAGTGGCTTCCGGTGTTAACAAGGCACTTGAGCATTTTTACCTTGCTACATCTCCCTGGAACTGTCCCTGAATGTCCACCTTCCACTATCTCTCTGTCCACTAAGCCCAGCATCACGTCTTGTTCAAGGGCATTGCTCCAAGGAGCTCTTGAACATCAGAGGTGACTTCTATATTTCCGTTTAACGCCCTGCCCCCCCTCCCCCCCCGAACAGTAACGGCTTCCTAGGAATTCCTGTGAGCTGCTGGGGTGGCAAATGGTTAACGTGCTCAGCAGCTCACTGAAAGGTTGGGGGTTTGAGCCCACCCAGCAGTGCCTCCAAAGAAATGCCTGGTGATCTACTTCTGAAAGACCAGCTATTGAAAAAACACTGTGGAACACAGTTCTGCTCCAATGTGCATGTGGTTGGAACCGACTTGGTGGCAAGTGGACGCTAGGCTGACTAGCAGTGGAGGTGCTGGGAGGAGAGACAGCCCTCCCTGAGAGCTGGGGGCACCTCCCTACCCCCTCCCACCTGCTCCACCCCACCCCTGCCCTGCCGCTGCCTAGGCAAGCCCTTGGTTCCCTACAGAGGTGGTATGTCCAGAGGACAGCAAGTGCTCAGTCCCAAGTGCTCTCTCCTCCACCTCTCAGCCTGGCTGGGCCATTTCCTCCTGTTCTCTGCTCACACACCACCTGCTGGAAAGGACCTGCTTGCCGTCCAGGTGTAAAAAGCAGCCCTCACACTTCCTGTACCTGCACCCTGCCTTGTACGTTTTTCTCACTGCATGCCACTACCACTTAATCATTCATTCATTCATGTGATGGCTGTCTGCTTCCCCCAGCACAGTTCCATGAGAGGATGGTTTATTTTGTTCCCAGTGCAGCCTCAGTGCGCCAGATCCTGAAACAGTCTCTGGGGACAATGAATTGAAGGGTTAACAGCTGAAATGTGTCAGCCCTGTCCCCTTCTGCATGCTGCCCCCACCTCCACTCCCACCCCCCGAGCCAAAAGAAACCATAGGAACCTCAGCTCTCATAAGTTAGCTATGCGTGTTCTGGGCAAAAGGGGCTGAGTTCTGGGGATTTCTGACCTCATCTTCCATTAGGGTCCCAAAGCAATTTAGTCTCATTCTGTTCCAGTCACTCATGAGCTCAGGCCTCTGCTGCGAGTCTCCAAGTCTCTCCTCATCTGTAAAACGAGCCCCCCCTCCACCCTCCTCAGTGGTTTCCAATGGCAAGTCACAATACATGAATGGCTCTAACACAAATCCAATACTGCTGCGGTTGTATGTGCCCTCAAGTCAGTTCCAACTCATAGTGACCCACATAGGGTTTCCAAGGCTGGCCATCTTTGTAGGATCAGAAAGCCTTAACTTTCTCCTGGGAAACAGCTGGTGGACTCGAACTGCCAGCCTTGTAGTTCTCAGTCTAGTGCTTATTCTACAGAGCCACCGCGTTGCCTGAACCAACCTTTCTGCTATTGCTGTCACTAAGTGCCACCCAGCGAAAGGAAGGGGTAAAAGAGAACAATCAAATGTAAGCACAGAAACGAGAATTGTACCTTGAACTGTGGTTTTATATACAACTGTGTTGCAGTGTAACATGCATATTTACTGTGGGCATCAGGCAAGTAAGTCTGAACAGGGCCCTGGGCCTGATGAGGCTTGGGGGGGACACATTAAGACAGTGGCATCGCACACGTTAGCATTACTTATGATTTCTAGTGGCAAATACCAGGACGAGAACCTGGGGGAGAGGAGAGGCTGTACGCACCATCCTGCTCCCTCCTTCTCTACCTGCTGACTGGCAGTAGGCAGGTGGGCACCTATGGACATACAAACATACACACACACACCATTATACACACACTCAGCCACACAGCTACACACACACATACTATGAACACTGCCCTGGAGAGGCTGTTTGAGGACTGGGGCATCCAGAGGGAGGGGCAGGCAAGAGAAGGAAGAAAAGCAAATAAACAAGCCGGCTTCCCCCCCAGGGAGCGGTCTCTGCTCTTCGAGGGAGGGCACTGGGGAGCCGGGGACCTGACCTGCTCCCAGGGTGTGCCCCTCAGAGTCTCCCAGGAATCCCTCTGAGTATGGATTTTAAAAACAAAGAGTAAAAGATTAAGATGGCAATTTTTAGAGGATATATATTTTACCACAATTTGGGGGGGGGGGGGATAATTGGGATACTGAGGCTGATTTAAGATGCAATGAGCCTCCCTGGGCAGATCTGGGATCACCAAATGAGCCGCCCTGAACTCAGGGCTTGTTCCAGTACGTATTTGGGTGTATAAGATAAATTCATGAAGGACCCTTATAAGCAAACAAGGGAGATTCCTGACTACCTGCTCTCCTGCCAGGCTGGGGCTTTGTCAGCAACCCTCATGCTGACTGATGTCTAGCTGTCCCCAAGGCTGCCGTCCGTCCTTTCAGAACATGCCTGACAGACTCAGAAATGTCCAGCTGGCCTCACAGGAGCCCCGAACACTGGCAGCTGCTGATTTGGCACCTCAGCTCTAGGGAGGCCCCAGCTTACATGGAGACACTCACAGGCCTCAAAAAACAAGCTCCCAACTGCCCTGTGGCTCCCGTGGGGGCCTTGTGGGCGGAAAACAGCTCCTTCCTGTTTTGCCCCCTCCACCCCAAACCTGGTGAGAAGCAAAGTGAGCCCACGTTCCCAAGCTGGACAGGCTGCTGTCTGCTGGGGCTTCAGCTGCTGGAGCAGAGGTGCACACCAGCGTGCACGCAAGGTGCGGGGGCAGGTGTGTGCACACCTGGCAGAGGAGGCAGGCACACAAGCGCACTGGGTGTCTCCGGAGACATGGTGTCTGTACACAGCCAGCCAGTACCTGCTGCAGAAGCAGAAGTGTGACCCACAGTGGAGCAGCCGTCCTGACCCAGCTCTGACTCATCCTTCTGGGGAGAGGGCTCCTACCCTCACAGGCAGCTGGGCCTCTGCCTTTGGCCTGAGCTCAGACACTGCCAAAGTGGAGGTGGGGGTGGGCTGCTGGCTCCTCCTAGAGCAGCCTGGTCCCTAGGCTCCTACCAGGGAGACCCACTAGCAGTAAGGAAGGGGCTTGGGATGACAAACAGGAGGTCCCTGGGTGGTGGAAATGGTTGATACACTCAGCAGCTAACTGAAAAGTAGTTGGAGGTCAGGCGTGGAGATTGACTTTTGGAAAAAATCAATCATTAAAAACCTCACTGTGCACAGTTCTACTCTGACACACAAGGGGTCCGCCATGAGTTGGAATTGACGGCATCTGGTTTCCTGGTGAGGCATCCGTAGGAGGTGTCCTGATCCTGAGGCCCCTTCGGCCCCCTCATATATTTTATATCTCTTACAGGTATGCCTAGCTGAAGTGAGAGGTACCTGGTATTTTGGGGTTTCCAGTGCTGGTATGAAGCCCTGGTGTGGCACTGTGGGATAAAGCACTGGACTGCAAAGTCAGTTTAAACTGCAAGTTCGGTGGTTCAAGCTCACCTTGGAAACCGTAGACAGGGTTGCTACGGGTTGGAACCAACTCGATGGTACTTAACAAGAACAAGTCCTGGGGTGGTGCCGCAGGATAATGCACTTGACTACAAGGTCAGCGGTTCAAATTCACCAGCCACTCCTAGGAAACCCTATACTGGGCCACTATGAGTTGGAACCAACTCGACGACAATTAACAATTCCTGGCCCCAGTTCAGAGGGAGGCCAAAGTCTGGGGTCTAAAAATCCCCACTTTTACTAAGGCTGCCCCACCCATTACTCCCAAATCCAGATGGTTCACTCTCAGGCCACCCACTGGTCTAGCCTTGTCCACACAAAACTGTCACAAGAATTCTATTCTTAGAACCTCGGCAGTGTCCCGTCCACCAGCCTAAGAGCGGAGTGACAGCCCCCTCCCTCACATGGGGACAGCCATGTGTTTCCACCTCTATGCTTTTTCTCAGTCTAGCACGTTCCTGTGACCACCCCAAACACTCCTCGGCCAAACCCCCAGCCCAAGCACCACTCCCGGGACTGTGACACCCCTCTGGTCTCCCCTTCTGACCCAGGAGCCACCTCTCCGAGTTCTCGGATTCCCTGTACCCGTCACCGTGTGTTCGTGCACAGTACCCAGGAGGCCTTGGCTGAACAAATCAAGCGCCATCGAAAAACCATCTCTTGGTGCTCACATTCAGAGATTCAGTCACACTACTTGATTCCTGATCCCTGCAGTGTGACCTGGTGTGGTGCTGGAGGACCAGCAGTGGACTACTGACTGCACGCCAGGAGTTCAAACCACCAGCCGCTCATGTGCTGCAAGTTTCACTCTCCGTGCAAGAGACCTGGGGTTGTTTCCTGGCCAATGTGTGGTCACCACCCATCCGTCCATGGAAGCTAAACAGGTGTCAGGAGACCTTCCAGACTAAGACTTAGAATAAAGGCCTGGGGACCTACCTGCCACCAGCATTTCAGTCTGCTGCACATGGGGCTGGGAGACTTGGTGTTTACTCTATGGTAGCTAACAG